GCCACCTTAGGTGTACGTGGCTGGCGCCTTAGCCGGTTGAGCTATAGGCGCCGAGCCGCTGGCTGCATTTTAGAATTACCTGGGAAGGTTTTTAATTCCCAGTGCCCAGGCTGACCCCCAGAGGTGGGACCCTAGTATTTTTTTAAAGCTTCAAGGATAATTCCAATATGCAACCAAGATTTGAGAATTTTTATTTGGCAAGATCAGGGTTTCATTTATTTTTTAACTCTTTAACACTCATTACATGTTGCTACTTAATGAACAGATGAATTATATTGCAAGGAAGCATTGCCTCTTGTGAAACAGTAGCATTCTTCAGTATACAGGGACCTTCTCACTATCTTCATTAGTATCCAGATACTTGAAAAGTTTGAATGTCCATTGATATTAATACTGAAAACTGGAATTTTATATGGATAATATTTTTGATATTGAAATATTTTGTTGATACAATTAGGATTTCATATCATTTTTTATCAAGACCTGAGGTATATGGATTATGTTTAGAGATGGACTATGGCACAGGCACTTAATTACTATGATGGAGTACTTAGGTGTTACTGAAATTTCCGTACTTGTTCTGGAAGCTGAATCTGTGAGAAGAAAGAACAGGACAAGTGGTTTTAGGAAAAGGAAAGAAAAATTTATAGTGATTTGCCAGCAAATGAGGAGGGCTGTAGACTAGTATCTCAAGAAACCATCATCTTTCCTTTAAGCAGAAAAACAGGGCTTTTTAAAAGGTAGGTTTTCAGATCATGGGCTCAGGTATAAGTGACCCGGGTCAGATGTATTGTCACACATCATGGCTTAAGGCTACTATTGTTTAACTATAATTGGTGGTTTGGGTTGCCCTTATCTCTGGTGAAGATAATCATGTGATTGAAGACACTGGAAAACAAACAGCAAAAACACTTTTCTGCCCATTTGATTACTGTCCATGGGAGGGAATACAGGTTTTAATAACCAAAATAAAAAGGTTGGGGGAGTTAAAGAGACAAGACATAAACCTTTTGTTGCACTTGTTCAAACTTTTACCTCTATTAAATAGGAATGCTACAAAGAGATCTAATGTGTTCTAGGATAAATTAGTAGAAAAACAGGGTCAGGTAATCTGCTTATTGCTGAGTTTTGGTACCAGTGGTTTTTGCATACCTGAAATAATAATTAACTGCTTAGAATGGTGAGTATTTAGGCTTTTCTACTTTTTTTTTTAACAGTTTTTGGCTGGGGCTGGGTTTGAACGCTACACCTCCAGCATATGCAGCCGGCACCCTATTCCTTTGAGCCACGGGTGCCGCCTGCTTTTATACTTCTTTAATAGAGAGAGGAGAAGCACGGACAATTAAAGTTTTAGCTTTGGTTTATAAAACCACTTCCTAAACACCTAAACATTCCTTGATTTTTTTCATGGGCTTCCTCACAACAAAATTACAGCTATATCAGGGATCCAGTTTCTTCACTTAGGCTATTGATAGTCTACAATTAATATCTTTTTAAAAAATAATTTGTTGCCATTAATTAATCATAGCAGTGAAAAATATCCTTGATTTGGAGCTCTGAGTTCTGCATTTCTGTGATACCAGAGTAAAACAAAAAATGTGCAAGGATAAAGGAAAAAATCATTTTTATTTTTAGATCCTGGATTTGTTTCTCTAATGAGCCTATATTTTGTGTCACTGATGAATTTGTATTTTATGTCTAGGTATCAGCCTGCTATTTGTATTTTATATCTACTTATCAGCAGCTAAATTATGTGATTGTATTTTTAAATTTTGGTTCTGAATTCTAAACAAGTAATAAAACAATACAAAGCAAGTATACAATTATAATTTAGTAAGCACTTAACTGCCTTTTTAAGGAAATAGGCAATATGCAGGATGGATTAATAGAATTAGCAATAAGGGGCGGCACCTGTGGTTCAAGGAGTAGGGCACTGGCCCCATATATTGGAGGTGGTGGGTTCAAACCCAGCCCTGGCCAAATTAAAAAAAAAAAAAATAGAACTAGCAATAGGTAGAAAAAGTCAGACCAGGCACAGTGGCTCATGCCTGTCATCCTAGTACTTGGGAGGCCAAGGTCAGGGAATCTCTTGAGGCCAGGAGTTTAAGACCATCCTGATGGAGACCCTGCCTCTACAAAAAATTGCTAATAATAGCCAGGCATGGTGGTACACATACCATATCTGTACCAGCTATTCAGAAGGCTGAGGCAGGATTGGTTGAGCCCAGGAGTTTGAAGTTGCAGTGAGCTATGATCATGCTACACTATTGCATGCTAGCCAGGACTCTGTCTCAAAAACAAAACAAAACAAAGGAAAAAGAAGTTAGTAGTTGAAAATCCTATTTCTACTTCCTTAAAAACTAGCCATGTAACTTTGAATAAATTATTTAACTACTTTGTAGTCTTAGAAAATATAGTCATAAATCTGATAAGGTTCCTACCACTTTCAGAATTTTATAGTATATATTTCTAATCTCTATAAGTATTATAGTACTATATTTAGAATGGCTGAAAAGTTCAGGCAAGCCATGTAAGTACATAATAAACATTAATTAAACATTAATTATAAGCTCTCTATTTACAGTATTACTTGTGTTTCATTTACTTTCAAGAATTTAATGCATGCTTCTGTAATTAACAAATACCCAAATCTGCAGTACTTTCTGATCAAAAGTAAAACTAGTCCACAAACTATGCTTCAGAATTTTTTTGTTGATTGAAAAGAATCTATGTTCTTACTGTATCTAAGTATTTGAGAATTTGGGTGTTTTGAGAAGGCAGGCAAGTTCTTCTGCATATGACAATACTATTTGTTTGGTTTGTTTGTTTGTTTGTTTCAGGAAACTCTAATAGATTGGTGTGATGAAAAGGAACTAAATTTGATATTAACAACTGGAGGAACAGGATTTGCACCACGAGATGTCACTCCAGAGGTGAGATAGTACATGTCTTTCTCATATTCAAGAATTAGAGAGTAATGTTACTGTTACTATTTTTATATTATTTTTGTAATTTTGCTAGGTACAAGTGATTTGTAATTCTAAGGATATAAAAATTTTGCTTTGGAACAATTATGAAAAAAATTTGTTTTTAAATTTTAACTAGAAATGATACAATGTGAGGAAGATTGAACTTGTTCAGGAGGTAATCCTTCATTTTCTTATTGTCTGCATTGTCAGCAGAAGTTCAGGTGCATCACCAAAGGAGGTGATGGCAGAATTTTGTTACCGTGGCATCTGGTGTGATGAGTTTGGTAAATACAATTCAAAATTGGATCTGATTTTCTTTTTCTTGAGGTACCTTTGTCATCTATCTTGAAGTACAGTAGGATGGCTGCATCATTATTTATACCAATTTCACAGTACTATTGATGGAAAGAGGTTGTGTTTTTCACAATTTTAAATGTGAATTGCATTTAATAAAGAATATAATAGGCCAAAAAGCAGAATACTAATATCTAAGCTTCATACCACAAGAATCATCTTTGTACAGAAAAAAAATTAGGGAAAGAATGAAGAGTAAGCAGGGTTTGCTAACACAAGGATGAGAAGTCTTTTACTTTATAAGGAAACCATAAATTTCCCATGTCACTTTGGAGGCATATGTAAGCTATTACCACTTACAACATTGTTTTTTCCCCCCTAAAAGCTTATATCTTGGCTCAATTTCAGCTTAACTCTATCCTTCTATTTTCAAATCATTACAATATTATATCTACTACCTTACTAACAAACAACAAAGCACTTTTGTTCTGCATACATAATGCCTGTCTTTCCTATGCTAGTAGAGTGGTTTTTGACCTGTAGCCTGCATTAGAACCAATAAGAGGGCTTATTAAAACACAGACTGCTGGGTCGCATTCCTAGAGTTTCCGATTCAGTAAATCTACAGTGGGTCCTGCAGGTGTAATTCAAATGTTGATACATAGACCCTACTTTCAAACTTGGAGAAACACTGCACTAGTATAAGAAAATACAATTTTTTTTTTTTTTTGAGACAGAGCCTCAAGCTGTCCCCCTGGGTAGAGTGCTATGGCATTATAGCTCACAGCAACCTCCAACTCCTGGGCTCAAGCGA